GGTACTTGCGGTTGGTAGTCGGGTAAATCGTACCAGCACAATTTACCAACTGCAAGTGGTACGATTAAACCAACTAAAGCATTTCTAAAACAAAAGCAAATATCCGGCATAAACTCAAAACTTAGACACGCAACAAAAACCCCCAATAATCTAGTATACAATTGTGGAATAATAAAAAAAAACTGAATAACTACAGCTTACCTTGATTAATAGTTATCTCCTTACGAATATACGACAATATTTATATTAATTCCTACAAAAAATGTTTTTCTTTTATTACGTGAACAGTTGTTAACTCACGTCGATTTAAACTAGTGGGTGAAGAGGGGTGGTACAGAGCCACGATTTGTTGTTGTCAGTGTAGAAAAAAATATTCATTAAATGGGAAATTTAGAAGTGGTACGATTTAAATGCTAGTACGATATAACCAACTCTCCCCTATGACTCGGAAATCACATTGGCCAAGATCGAACCCGCGCCCTCGTGCATGAGAGGCGGGCCTTTTAACCACTAGGTCACCACTGACTTTTGTCATATTTTGTCATTGTTATTCATACTACTATGTAATAAAGAATCTTTACCAGAAAGAAGAAGAAGAACAGATCTTTAACATAAATTACGACGTTATTATAATGTACAATTTAGGTAATGCAACTTTACTGCTGCCGTGGGAAAAAACGTGTCCCTTTATACACGTTTATATACATAGATTTGACACTGTTTTATGAATTTGACTATGCACAAAAAGTTATTTTTTATTTGTATATGTCAAGTCAAAGTGTTATTGGGTCTAGTGTCAGAGTTCTTTATTTTAAACTTTTTATAAGAAACGTAAATATGTGCAATTTCAAAACAAGTTTTTTACTATGTACATACATACAAATGAGGTCTATTTGTAGTTAAATTTATACTTTACATGTTAAACTTGTCAAAGAGACACAACTATTATCACGAAACTAACTACACTTTACAGTCTTAATATGGATTTGAACATAAGCGGATTGATTACAACGCCAATTAAATATTTATTATGTGTGACAATATATGTATATGTATATTGTATATTAACATATCTTATACAAACCTAATATTTTTGAAGCTATTGTGTACAATAATTATTTCATACATTAAAGATTCGAGGACTCCTTTTTTTTGTTCTAATAATTGTAATAAAAAAAGGTTTAACTATTTTAACCACTGGAATAGCTGAAATAATGTACGATAACAAAACATGGATAATTATATACTAATAATTTTCTATATTCAATAAATATTTTCATATATATCTTTCAATATTATGTTTATTGGTGTCACGTCAAAGAGTATATTCCCAGTCTCACATTCAACGTGCAGAATAAACACGTGTATGATTGAACAGATTCTTTGTGGTAAGAATAGGAAAATTCAGTTTTGTTTTATTTGGTTATGTTGACAGCTCTACTTGTTTATAAAATTGATATTGTAAAAAAAAACAAATTATATATTAAATAATGGACTTTTTGATTATAATGCCTTCAGATGAACTATGTTTTCTTTGCTATTATTCCTTACAAATAAAATTAAATAAGATTTGGTGCTAGATTTCTGCATATCAACAACGAAGCGTTAAACGTATATTTATGTATTTATTTGTATGTAGTCTATTATATTATTCCATAGTATTGTTGTATTGTAAATTATTTAATCAAATAATTTTTATACATAACAGTAGGTCAGAAGATAATGTTTTTTAATTATAGTAACAGAAACACAAAATATATTACAAATATGTGTTTCATAAACCTACTTTAAGACCAAATTAGTGCTATATTATATTTCATATGTATATCTTTTAATATCTTTAAAGTAAGAGTATTTCAACGAGCAATTTCCATTATATGACGAAGAATCGTCCCCAACAAGGTTTACTAAAAATATAACGTTAATACAACGTCATGAATGTCTTGTTCTTGACTATCGTCCTTCTTTCAGGGTTTCAAACAAACCACTTAGGTCATTTTACAAAATTCTTGACTTCTAACATGACTGACGGTTCAGACAGTAAATGATAATTACATAGAGAAGAATTTTTACCTTTTTGTATTATATAATCGACTGAACTCATTTTCGCGATCGCACGACTTGATTGTCACACAGAATAGAGTTTCAGTAATCAGTAGTAATATCCTGAGAGTATAATTACGGGTATGTAGTTTAATGTACTCGTTACTATATGAAAAATGGTAGGACACTTCAAATAGAATTACCTTATTATACATACACGAATCCTAAATAAGTAATTTTGTTAAATAATTTTATGAACAATTTGGTTCACGGAATAGCAACTAACGAAGGCCTTAAGTGGATTTTCATTTATTTTCTGGCTTAAACTTTGCTCGGGAAAGATAAATTAGTCGACCACCATTATAGGCGGTACCGGTAACACATTAAGGTGATATCACGATTTATATCTTACGCTAAAGAAATGATTTTTTTAAAGAATATTACCAAACCTCTATTTTCATTCAACTCCGATTTTATTCCTATATACTGTTACGTTTTATAGAAAACGAAATAAAAGTAACAAACTCAATGATACAATGCTTTTTTTGTTAAAATTATGAAATAAATAAGAAAATATAACTTTTAAAACCCAATTCACGAAGCTAATTGGAATTTGACATTGTTATCATCGATTATTATCAATACAAATATATATTTGAAAGATATGATATTTTTGCATATAAATTTTCATCCTAAATGTAATCCTAAATCCTAAATAGTAAACGACAAAATTCTGTTTCATTTGAGTGCCAAGTTTGAAATATTGTAAATAATCATCTCGAAATGTTGAATTCATGAATGAATACTACTTGTTTGAAATGCACATCCTCTTATAAATATATTCATACTGATTGAAATGAACAGATGTAGCATTTCTCACTCTATTTACATCTCTCACCTCGAATACTGAGATGATCACGAACACCATCCGCGTCACGTCCAGACAAGCTCTTACATCATTTACCTTTAATACGTAAACAAAACTCATGTTGATTTAAAATTGGAAATTTAAATTAAAAGGTAGTAATAATTTGAAGTGTCTTTGTTTTAAATATGAATTCTTGTAATATTTTGAGTAATGATAAGTAAAAGAACTCATGCTTGGTTCATATAAGTAGCAGATATATTCAAAAATGAAATTATACAGACGAGCAGGATTCGTATCTAGGGTTTTAGAGATTCAACATTCGCTTTACTTTTTAAACTTAACGTCTCTTATTCGGAGGTAAATGCACTATTGCGATATATCATAATTTACTTTTAAAATTATGAACACATTATCATGGACATAATAAAATAAATTTAATATTTTTTAATGTGTATTTTGTATGAGAAGGAAAAAACTATGACAATTAAAATTTCAGAAAGCCGTGAATCAATTGAACTTTTTTATATTTAATCTCTTTAAGTCTTTAATCCTAATTCTTTAAAACCTCACCATAAAATAAACCGGTAAAAACTGTGTTACATTTATTTTTATTTAATAAACTAAATGAGGTTTAATATAGAACGATTATAGTGTAAGTGTGTTAAAAAATATATTATTAATCCCTACTAATATTATAAATGCGAAAGTAGCTCTGTCTGTCTGTCTGTTACGCTTTCACGCCTAAACCACTGAACTGATTTTAATGAAATTTGGTACAGACATAGAGTTGACCTTGAGAAAGAACATAGGATAGTTTTCTTCACAGACTTTTGAAAGGTTCTCTTTGAAAAGCGATATAAGCGAACTCCACGCGGGCGAAGCTGCGGGCGGAAAGCTAGTATATTTAAGAAAAATTGTGTTATATATACAAAGGTATCAATATACCCTCAATTCTATACATTAAAATAATATGCTAAAACCCATACAAATAATGTTTTTTGAGTAAACTTAATCTATAATTTGTACACCATCGATATCTAAAGTCGGTACGGAAGCAACATTTCCATGTAGGTCGCATAAAAATAACATTTTCGCGAACCCCAGAGAACGGCTGCTCAAATATTGAGTCTTGGGAAACATACCGCGCCATCTGGATCCGCTCGGATAAACATACATATACAGTATTCACTTACTGTATATGTTTAATAATCTAGATTATAGAAAATAATATGATTGTTGATTAAAAGATGTATATTTTTTCTTTCTATAAGCATATATTTTTTTGTTATCACTTACATATATGGCTAGTAAAAGATATATATAAATTTTAGTGATATTTTTGTAACTACATATACATATATAAGATCATTGCACACCCTGGTTTGGCGTGTAATTAAAAATTATATATTTGAGTTGATTATCAAAAATAACTAAGTGTTAATATTTATGACTCATGAATTTATGAGACGATTCTGAAATGAAAAACTTTGAAATATCATATATATACGCCAACAAAAATTTACAGACGCCAAAATTATTACACCTTCAAAACATCTGTTCATTTGATTAAAAAAAGCAAATTCTTGACCAATTTCATTTAAATAAATAATAAATATTAATAATATATGTATATTAAGTAATTTGTAATATGTATATGTGTGTATATATGTATATATACATATACATATATACATATATTATGGCTTCATTTAACCAACATTTTTTCTTAACAATTAATTATCACGCATAGATGTTGCATCCACAAAGGTCAGCCAGTAAATATATTTTTTATCCAGAGTTTCTATATTCTTAGTAAATTCTCGTACAAGTTTTTCTCGTTCGTGTTAAAGAAATTTATATGAGAATCGTGTTATATTTTTGTACCTACATATATTAAAGATTCATAACCGGAACTGGATTCAAATATTGTATTGTGTAACGCTGAGTAGACGCTGCGAGGGTTAGACCCTGTTTATTTTTAGATATAAGCAAGTTGGACGATCAGTTGGTCGATCAGTTGGTCGATCAGTTGGACGATCAGTTGGACGATCAGTTGGTCGATCAGTTGGACGATCAGTTGGTCGACTAGTTGGACGATCAGTTGGACGATCAGTTGGTCGACCAGTTGGACGAGCAGTTGGACGATCAGTTGGACGACCAGTTGGACGATCAGTTGGTCGATCAGTTGGTCGACCAGTTGGACGATCAGTTGGACGATCAGTTGGTCGACCAGTTGGACGATCAGTTGGTCGATCAGTTGGTCGATCAGTTGGTCGATCAGTTGGTCGATCAGTTGGACGATCAGTTGGACGATCAGTTGCACGATCAGTTGGTCGATCAGTTGGTCGACCAGTTGGACGATCAGTTGGACGACCAGTTGGACGATCAGTTGGTCGATCAGTTGGTTGACCAGTTGGACGATCAGTTGGACGATCAGTTGGTTGACCAGTTGGACGATCAGTTGGTCGATCAGTTGGTCGATCAGTTGGACGATCAGTTGGACGATCAGTTGGACGATCAGTTGGACGATCAGTTGGTCGATCAGTTGATTGATTGAATGAAAATCTCATAATATTATGATGATTCTCATGATATTATGGATACACTCAAATAATCTGTTGAAGTTAGAATCTTAGATAATATTTCGTGTAAGTAACTTGTCTAACTGCTTTTGTCATAAAACAAACAAAGCTACCGATTTGTAGTAAATCACACACACAATGGTCAGTTTACACTTAACTTAATTATCTTAAATGTTGGAATATATAAAATATAAAATATTAAAGAGTCAGCAAATAAAACTTCAAAACTTTAAAAGTACATTCATAGAATACTTTACATCTATCGTATTTGTATAATATACCTCCGTCGAATTTTATTTATTAAATAGTATTTTGAACGCCAACATACCTTTACAGTTATTATGTTAACACAAAATAATAAAACATTTTAATGTGCACTTTTGGTAATGCAACTTCACTGCTGCCATTGGAAAAAACTTGCAGATAAAGGAAAACATTTGACACTTTAACGATTTCGTTTCAGGATTTGGCGATTTGACTATGAAGATGGAAAAAGTTATTTTTATGATATCATCATCATCAGCCTATCAGACGCCCACTGCTGAGCAAAGGCCTCTTTCTCACATGGAGAAGGTTTGAGCATTAATCACCACGCTTGCTCAAGACGGGTTGGCGATTTCAAACTTGTAATTGTGAAACTATAACTCCAGGTTTCCTCACGATGTTTTCCTTCACCGTATGTCAGTGATGTCTAAATACTCTCAGAAAGTACATATGACTCGGAAAAATCACATTGGTACTTGCCAGGTTTGAACCCGCGCCCTCGGCAAAGAGAGGCGGGCCCCTTATATATATGATATCCATAATGTTAATGTGTTACTCAGTCTTGTGTTAGATTTCTTAATTTTGAACTTTTCATAAGAAACTTAGGTATTATTTCAGTGAAAATGTTTCACTGTGTACAATGAATTGTTCATACGTATTGATGGTTCAATTATTACTTACATGTTAAACTTGTCAATGAGACACAGTTGTTATCACGGAACTAATTACACTTTACAATCTTAATATATATTTGACACAAGCGGCTTGATTACAACGCCAATTAAACGTTTATTGAGAATGACAATATTTATATCGTCTATAAATAATCTCATGCAAATCTAATATCTTTGAAGCTATTGTGTACAATAACGAATTCATCATAATATTATAGTCAGTCGTGGCCTAGTGGTTAGAGGGCTAAGAGTATTTAGACACCACTGACAGATGGTGATGAAAAACATGGCGAGGAAACCTGGACTTATAATTTCACAATTATAAGTTTGAAATCACCAACCCGTCTTGAGTAAGCATGGTGATTAATGCTCAAACCTTCTCTATGTGAGAAAGAGGCCTTTGCTCATCAGTGGGCTCTGATAGGCTGAAAAAAAGTCTTTCATATTATCTTGGAAGTTCAAAGACTCCTTTTTCTGCGTTGTAATAATTATATTAAAAAAGGTTTTACTATTTTAACTACTGGTATAGCTGAAATAGTGTACGATAACAAAACATCGATAATTATATGCAAATATTATTATATATTAAATAAATATTCTTTATATAAATCTTTCAATATTATGTTTATTGGTGTCACGTCAAAGAGTATTTTCTTTTTACTATCATTGTCTTACATTCAACGTTGTGAATAAACACGTGTATGATTGAACCGTTTCTTTGTGGTAAGAATAGGAAAATTCTGTTTTGTTTTATTTGATGTCGACAGCTTTACTTGTTTATAATATCAGTATTGTAATAAAACCAAATTATATGTTAAATAACCGATTATTTGCTTGTTAAGCCTTCAGCTGAACTATTTATTCTATTATTCCTCGAAAATGAAATCAAGTCAGATTTGATGTTAATTTTCTGCAGAATAAATTATGGCATATAAACAACGAAGTGTTAAACGCATATTTATGAATTTATTTGTATGTAGTCTATTATATTATTACATAGTTTTGTTGTATTGTAAATTATTTGATCAAATAATTTTCATTTCAGTAGGCTAGAACGTAATCTTTTTTAATTATAGTAACGGAGATACATAATATCTTACAAATATATGTTTTCATAAATCTATAAATTTAAGACCAAAATAATGTTATATTACATTTCTTATTTTTTTAATATCTTTAAAGTAAGAGTACTTTAACATGTAATTTACATTATATGACGAAGAATCGCTCTCAACAAGGTTTGATAAAAATATAACGTTAGAAAAACGTCAGGAATGCCTCGTTCTTGACTATCGTCTTCCTTTCAGGGTGTCAAACAAACCACTTAGGTCATTTTATAAAATTCTTTACTTCTAGGATGACTGACGGCTCAGACAATAAATGATAATCACATGGAGGAGAATTTAAACCTATTTATATTATATAATCGACTGGGCTCATATTCGCGATCGCACGTCTTGATTGTCACACAGAGTAGAGTTTCAGTAATCAGCAGTTATTGTATGGCAGTATAATTACGGGTATGTATCTTAATATACTCTTTACTATATGTAAAATGGTAGGACACTTCAAATAGAATTACCTTATTGCATACACTAATCCTTAATTAGTAATTTTGTTAACTAATTTTATGAACAATTTGGCTCACGGAGTAGCAACTAACCTAGGCCTTAAGTGGATTTTCATTTGTTTTCTGGCTTAAACTTTGCTTGGGAAAGATAAATTAGATAACCACCATTATAGGCGGTACCAGGAACACATTAAGGTGATATCACGATTTATACCTATTATTAACGGTAAAGAAATGATGTTTTTTAATGAAAAGCATCAAACCTTTATTTTCATTCACTCCGATTATAGCAGTATATACTTTACATATCTTAGAAAACAAAAAAAAAACAGTTAATGATACATAGCTTTTACTTGTTAAAATTATGTAATATACCTACAGGAAAATATATTTTTTAAACCCCAATTCAAGCATCTAATTGTAATCAACGACTATCATTATGAATATGTATTTGAAAAATATGAGAATTTTGCAATATATTTCTATCAAAAGTAATCAAAAGTAAAGGATGAAAATTAAAATTCAAATAGAAGGGCTATTTGAATTTACATTTTCATCTCTAATTCCAATAGTAAGTTCATTAAAATTCTGTTTAATTTGTGTGTATTATATTATTGTCTTGTAATTAGAAATATTGTTAATATTTTTTGTTTTTTATTATTCATTCAAAATTTGGTATTTTATTATTTATGGATACTTCTTGTTTGAAATGCACATCCTCTTATAAATGTACTCATACTGAATGAAATGAACGAGTGTTTTCATTTCTCACTCTATTTACATCTCTCACCTCGAATACTGAGATGATCACGAACACCATCCGCGTCACGTCCAGACAAGCTCTTACATCATTTACCTTGTACTCTATCTAATACGTACGAAAATTTAAATTAAAAGGTAGTGTTCTTAGTAATAATTGTTGTAACGTTTGAGTACTTATAGTACTAAGCTGACGCATTGTTCATAAAACCGGTACAAATGTTTATTCAAAAATGAAATTATACAGGCGAGCATTATCTAAAAAAAAATATACTAAGTTATAATTCTCATAAATATACTAAGTTTTAATACTAAGTTATAATTCTCAGTTATAATCTCAATTAAAATATACTAAGTTATAATTTTACATTCATTATGAAATAGTAGCTGTAGCCTTTATAACGCTATTTTCACATTACACGATTTCGCTCGTGCGGGAAAAAATTGCCAGATTTTTAATCGTGGTTTTGCTACTTTCACATTGAACGATAAAAATCGTACATTTTTGTCAGTTCATTGGAACATTTGGTCTGGTCTGGATGAAAACTATGGATCGCGAACAAGTTATTGCGTTATGGATACTGTATCGGCGTCGGAAAAGACAAAGGCGCAATCGCCTTCACTGGATTCACCCAATTGATCAGAGACGAGAGGAAGTCGGGATGTTCCACACATTATTTGAAGATCTTAGAAACGATGGCCAAAAGTTTTTCAACTACTTTCGTATGTCAGTTCGCTCCTTTGATGAGTTACATGGGAAACTGAAGAGTGTCTACAATTCCCGTACGACTAAAGACCGTCTAGTGTGAAAGCGTGCATTTGGTCACATAGGCCACTAGGCTAGAGGACGATACGGTAGCCGTGCGGTTCTAGTGGCACTGGACGGCTGCAACACGATTACAAAACGTGCCCGTGTTCAAATCGTGCAATGTGAAAGGTCTCGTACTCTTCAATAGTCGATCAAGAAAAATTGCCCGGGCGATTTTTTCCCGCACGAGCGAAATCGTGTAATGTGAAAATAGCGTTAAAGTGTCATCCTAATACATTGAGTAATTTTAATGTTCCATTTATTATTATATAACAAAAAACAACTGGGTAAAATTATTTCGACGTGTCGAAATACAACTAACCTTTTTAAAGTTAACAAAATTGTGTTGTAGGACGTTGAAATTATAAAGTCAAAATAAAATAGTCACTTGATGTGTAATTCTTTAAATGCCACCATATACACATTTACTGTGTCAATTAAAAATTTCAGAAGCCGTGAATCATTTGAAATTTTTATGGTGTTAAAGAATGGTTTATTTTCAAGAGTTCGCGCACTTCATATCTCTTGTTTTTCATGTTTAATTAAAACGTTATAAATGTTAAACTAGCTTGACAATTCAAGATAAGAAGAGAATAATAATTGTAAACTAAGCTACGACAATGTGACAAGTTACGTGATGTTTTGAAATTTAAATATGTGTTTATTTTGTACTCAGTGGGTCTTTAATCCTAATTCTTTAAAACCTCACCATAAAATAAACCGGTAAAAACTGTGTTACATTTATTTTTATTTAATAAACATTGTCTCCAAATTTAATTAAGTATTAAATGTACCTACCGTGTGCATAATTTAATTAACGTGCTTGTATTGTTCCACGCACGGGAAAAATTAAAAGTAATTTTTAAAGGACAAGCTTTTGTATTAAACATAAAAAATATA